CGCGGGGGGGAGGAAGGGGAGGAGGAGGAGAAGGAGGAAAAAGGAGAAGAGGGAGGATGCATCTTCGGAGCCTCTTGAGGCACTCTTGGGCTCGATTGGACCGTCTTGGGACCGTCTTGGAGACCATGTTGGGGCTATTTTGGGCTCTCCTGGGGCCTCTTGGGGGCCTCTTGAGACCCTTGGGCTTCTCGGGGGCTTCTTTGGCCGTCTTATGGCGTTCCTGGTCCGTCTGACGCCGTCGGGAGCCGTCTTGGGGGCCTCTCTGAAATGACTTGGGGCCCTCTTGGGGCGCTTCGGGTCCGTCTTGGAGGCCATCTTGGGCGTATTGGAGGCCTCTTGGGCCGTCTTGGGGCCCTCTTGGGGCCTCCTTGGGGGCTTCTCGGGCCGTCATGGGGCCATCTTGGAGGCCTCGTGAGCGATTTGGGGGCGATCTTTGGGGCCTCTTGGGCCGTCTTGAGGTCTTCGAAAGGCCGAAAAGAAGCAAATGCCAACATCCTTCAACAACCTTCGGAAAACCACTGATTTTGGCCTCTTCGGGCCCTCCTGGAGGACCTCTTGGAGGCGTCTTGGGGGGCTCTTGGGGGCCTCTTGGGACGTTTTGAACAATCTTAAGGCTATCTTAGGCCGTCTTGGAGGCATCTTGGGCCATCTTGGAGGCATCTTGGGGCCATCTGAGCCGTCTTGGAGGCCACCTTGGCCGTCTTGGATGCATCTTGGAGACCATCTTGGGCCGTCTTGGAGCCGTCTGGAGCAGAAAAAACCTTTGCAACCAGGTGTTCGGCAATCTCCCGGGACCCCGGCGGGACGGGCCGAAGCCCCAGGGGAGTTCTTTCGGAACAAGGAACCAAAGCCAAAACCATATAATTTGGCACGCCAGGCACCCCTGCGATGAATCGACAGGGGGCGGCGGATCCGAGTGGCCATCGGCCAATCCCTCCACCGTGCCTGATGAGTTGTGGGTCTGAGGCCTCTTGAGGGCCTCTTGGAGGCGGTTTGGGCGCCTCTTGGGGGCCTATTTGGGCCTCGTTGGGTCTCGTTCGGGCCTGTTAGATTGCGGGTTGACACTGGGGCAGAATCACATGTACATTCGAATGCAATTACACGAGAAAAAATACCCAAATAGAAAAGAACGACGATAGTGCACGGCGTAGCAGGGGGGAAACGAAAGGGCGATACACGCATAAAGACATAATACGAAGAGAGAGGGAGAGAGAGAGAGAGAGAGATGGAGAGACGCAGAGGGAGAGGGATATAGAAGAGAGAGAGAGAGAGAGAGATTGAGAGGGAGAGAGCAAAACAACGAAAGGAAGACAGAGAGAGAGAGAGGGAGAAAGAGAGAGAGAGAGAGAGAGACAGAGAGAGAGAGAACCAAACAAGCAGAAGAAAGAACGTGCGCGCGCGTGTATAACGCGGAGAAAAAGCATTGGAAATAACGATTTGATAATGCATTGCGCATCATGGGGCGAGACAGGTATTGGGAGCCACCACGAGAGAGAGAGAGAGGGAGAGAGAGAGAGAGAGAGAGGAGAGAGGGAGAGAGAGAGAGGGAGAGAGAGATCGCATAACGCGGGACAAAGCATCAGCACTAGGACAGTGAGTAAAAGAAAAGAGAGAGAGAGAGAGGGGGCGCCCACCGACAGCCATCCACCAGGAGCCGCCCACCGAAATCGGCCGGCCACTGTCGCCAATCTTTGGAGAGGGCGCCCACCGAAAACCGCCCGCCGAGAGCCGCCCGCCGAAATCGGCCAGCCACTTTCTCCAGTTTCGCCCATGCCCTCTAGGGCCCCTTCAGTGCGAACGCCGATTGGGGAGGAGGGGGCGCGGTTAAATCCGGGGTGTGTGTGTGGGGTGGGGGGGGGTAATCTCTATGTGGCGGGTCGTATTTTGTGTGCGATCTATGTGGTGCATTACGTTGCGCAATCCAGTCGGCCCAATTTTCGCTGTGCGAGTCTTGTTGCGCAACCTCTGCGACGCAACTGACGGCGACCTCCTCGCGCGCGACCGCCTCCCGCGCTCGCGCAATCACTGCCCCCGCGCGCCCGCAACTGGGTTGCCTGGCGCAGGTTGGCGGCTGGCAGATGGCATCGGCTACCCGGCGCTGCCTGGCGCGTTGCTGTGGCCGCGCTGGCGCGCCCGGGCTCGCACGCAGAGCGCTCGTCCGGCGCGACCGACGCGGCCGCGGCGGGCTGACCGCGCGGCATCTACCGGCGCGTTTTGCAGGCCACGCTGGCGCGCGGGCGCATCAGTGCGAGCCGGCGACTCGGGCGGGCGCGGTGTCGCGGCGACGCCCGACAACGGCAGACGCGATGACGATCGTTGCGACGTTGGCGACGATGATGCCATACGACGGCAAGGGCAATGACGGCGCCGATGCTGATCGCGCCGGCGACGATGATGGTGGCCGCGCGTTGCCGATGAATGGTGCGACGTGGATGTCGACGCGAGGGCGCTCGAATGATTCAGACATGCGCGCGCGAGAGGCACGGCTGGTAGCACTCCATGAACACGCACAAATCCAGTGGGGAGTTGGCGAGATCGCGAGCGCAGGCTTCATGGAAAATTCCGTCTGCGAAACCGTGGGTGCACTCCTTGGGTGTTCGGGGCGTTCGATGTTGAAGTTTGTGCGAGGTTATTCGGTTTGTTCCCAACCAATCTATCGTGGGGTCCTCGTTTTGAAGAGACAGACCCCCGCGTTCCTCTTCTTTCTTTTCTCCTCCTCCCCGGAGTGCGAGCATGCGCGCGCAGTGCTTTTGCAAGGGGTGACGGGGGGCTCGATGACCGAATTTCCCGGGACGGCGTGAATTCAAATCGTGGATGGACGAGCGCGCAGAATCATACGCGACAGCAGTGCGAACAAGGTGTTCCGTTAAATCTGGAGAGGGGGGGGAGATCATGGTCTTTTCTAGGAGTATTTACGCGATGCAGTTCATCCTGGCGAAGATGAAGATGTGAACTCCACTCCTCGCGCAATCATCCCACCCGCACACCCGCAAGTTGTTTTGTAAAACCATGCGGCGGTGAATGCCAGGATTGCTAGGCACTGACCAGCACGTCTCGCATGCCGCGCAGACTCGCGGGCACTTCTGTGCGAGTCGGTGATTCGGGCGAGCGCGGTATCATGACGACGTTGACAACCGAATTCACGATGATGATAATTACGATGTTGGTGACGGTAATGACAATGATGACGGCAAGGCAATGACGGCGCCAATGTGGATCATGCCGATGACGATGAAGGTCTCCTCGCGCCGTTGATCAACGTTGTGGTAAGAATTTCGACGCGCACGGGTGGCCAGCGTGGCTGTTTGTGACCGGGATCAGGCCTTTTCCGGCGTGCGCGCAAAAAGGTGTTTGAATGTTGTCGACCCGCGCGCGCGATAGGCACGGTTGGTAGCATTCGGTGGACATGTAGAAAAACGTTCGCTTGGTTTCTAAATTATTAATCACTCGAGAGCGCGAGCGCCGTTTTTTGGAAATCATGGTTGCGAAGCGATTCGTTTTTTGTCTCAGGTGTTTCCGAAACACTCGATATTCAATTTCGTGCGACACGCGGCTTGTTAGGTTTATGACAGATTTTGGCGTGCGTGCGCGACGACGCGCGCATGTGCATTTGTTCCCGTGTGTTACGAGAGTGGTGTACCAATTGTTGGTTTTTATATACGCGTGTCCGCGCATATTTTTGTTTGCAAAGGATGAGGGCGATGGGGTCGATATCCGGACTGCTTCGGATGGTACGATTTCATGGGTCGGATCGACCGGGTTCGCTGGTTGATACATGCGAATCAGTACGCAAATATGTATACCGTTAATTGGTTGGGCTGGGGAGGTACATCTGAATTGTATATCTGAGTATACATATAATAACAAATCGTCGGCGACGGAGCGGCGCCGGCGACAACATTGCCGTCACACCGACCGACAGGCCCAGACGACGGGCGGCGGCCAGCCAGCGACGGCGACGGGGCGGCGCAGGCGGCCACGTAGCCGCCATACGGACAGACGGCCCCCAAACGACGGGCGGCGGCGAAACGGCGACGGGCGGCGACGACGCGGCGATTGGGCCACATAGCCGCTAGACCAGCCGCAGGCCCAGTTCTGTAGAACAGAAATCAAAAACCCGAAGTGCAAGCATTGTTTTGGGAATGTGATCGTGCGCGCCGTTCCGATGGAGTACAGCCCAGGGGCGATGAGTTGAAAAAGTGGCGTTACCGTTTCGGTGTGGACATTTTCCGCATCGCGCAGATCGCGAGGTCACGGTCCAAAAACACAATGCATCTCCACCTCGTGTCATAACACACTCAAACACACAATGGGGTGATGCCGTTTCTAGAAGCAAGCAGCGCGTACGAAATCCCCCCACAATGAAATTTGACGGATTCAAAAAGGCGACCGTTTCATTCGAGACATCAGTCGGCGTCGGAGGCTCTTTTCAATTGCTGTCGCAATGTGTGCAACCTTCTTTTTCACCGCACACATCGCAAGGTGTGGTAATCCCACCTGCGTCCGACTGCGGTTCCCTTGTTGGCTTTTCTATCACAATAGCCCCCTGTTGACCCTCTGTATCTTCTTTATTAGGTTTCCCCTTCGCGTCTCCATCTCCTTCCTCTTCCTCCTCCTCGAATCCGACTCCGTACTCGTCTTCTTGCCAACAATATGTGATGAGTGCGTGCTATACGTACATATCATAAGCCTAGGCGCGCAAGCCACACGTGTTTGTATGTATGTCTGTATGTAGGTAGGTAGGTAGGTAGTTGGGTAGCTAGGTAGGTAGGTAGGTAGGTATGTATAAATATATATATATATATATAGAGCTCAAATAAGTACATACATCCATACGCGCATACGTTCCTGCAGCTGCACCGTCCTATACACAATTGGCCAAGTTCGAGGCCAGCTCCTGCTGGGGAACAGGCACACGTCTGATAGGGGGCACGCCCGACCAGCGGATCTGGGCCCGGGCTGCCGCGGGAGCGGGGAGCGGCGACGCCCGCACCCCAGAGGTGGACGGCTTCAAGACCAGGCACGGGCTCCCCGACTCGGAGATGGCGGTCTTCGAGATGGTCAGCGACAACATGGGGGGCGAGCTGCTCGGGCTGGAGCTCGGCGGCGCGCGCAGGGCGTGAGCCGCCCCCCGTGGCGAGAGCTGCGGGGCCCTCGCAGTCTGCCTGTGGGGGGACATGCCATGCCCGACCTAAAGGTAGGAGGAGGAGGAGGAGGAGGAGAGCGAGGAGGAGGAGGAGCAGGAGGAGGAGGAGGAGGAAAATGTGGAGGAGGAGGAGGCGGTTTCGCGGAGGTTCATGGACTTCCTGCACTGGCACGTTGATTAGCGAATTGGCCGTTTCCTGTCCGCGAGATGGCGTCGAGGCTGTCATTTTTGCAGGTCCAGGTCCGTCGGTTTCGGTCGCAGGCCGTTTTCACTAAAGGGTGGTTTGCTAAAGGGAGGTTTGTCCACCGCCGACAGGTGCCCCTGGTCAGATGTTCCTTTGGGGGGCCTTCCTATGGCCCACCCAACGGATCTGTTCGCCTCTCGACCCCAGTTCGATTCAAGTTCGATTCAAGCTTGGCTCAGGTCCGACTCTGGTTCGATTCAAGGTCGACTCGAATCGACGGACTTTCGACGCAGCAGTGGAGCGAGTGGCTCCTGGAAGACCCCCAGAATGAGCAACCAACCCTGGCCTCAGGTGCCCCCAGCTTCTCGCTCAACTGAGGAGCCCCCGGGGCCCTCTGGAGGCCGTGGGGGCTTCCCTCGAGATCCTGGGGGCGCCTTGGGCCAGTGGCGCTTCTCGCAACACCCGCAACGGTGACGAGGACCTGCAGCAGTTCGCGCACAGTTTGAACAGGACTCGCTGCCGGTGCCGCATATGCTGGCTTTTCCGGGCGAGCCCGGCTCGCAGATGCTAATTGCTGGCGGGCCCAGAGCGTTCCGCGGAACGAAAATCAAACGTACCTCCTTCGCTCCTCGGCTCCCCTCGACCGCTCCTTCCCGCCGGGCTGGACTGCTCCTGCGGCGGCGCTCCGCACCCGTGTCGGCGGCTGTGGAACGGCCCGCGGTTCTGCACCGTCCGAGGCTCTGAGGTGGCCCGACCTGCTTCCCCCATCCGCCACCACCACCTCCTCCAGTGTACACCGCTCCACTTGGTCGCTCGCCCTTCTCGCGCACCACGCGATTTGGGTCACCTTTGGGGTCCCAAGCGTGCTGTGACGCCCGTCGGCGGACACAGAAGCAAGCAGCGCAATGAG